GTCAAATGGGGTTTACTTACTTTACAATCATCTGGTCGTTTTGTCATTGATCGACAAGCTTTGATCCCTTTTCTGGATGAAATGAAAGTACGACTAACAAAAGCATCAACAATTTTCGAATGGATCGAAATCTATAATCAATATATCGCCTTTTTTATGCGCAATTTTGGTAAATGTGCTAATATCTTGGGCACATATCATGTTGAACAGATGATTGAAACTTTTCAATTTCTTCATGGTTATGTCTTTGCTGAAACGAAAGGAAACGCTTTAACCGTTCTGACTAGTCGTATTCTTCAGCAATTTCCGGCTTATTTAACCGAAGAGATTTGTGAAGCTTGGTGTTATTGGCCATTAACACAGGGTGGGTTAGGTTTTAAAAATATCTATCTGACTTTAAATGGTTATCAACAATGGTTATTAACGGAAAAGATCACCACTTTCAATCATCTTCCAGCTAGAGACGTTGAAGACTATGCTCATATAGTAGAGAAATACAATCAAACGAAGAAAGGTGACCGACGTAAATACTTAAAAGAATATCTACATGACGATGGGACATTGATCAGTTTCGATGAATATATAAAAGATCGTGAAACTATTTTTTCACATTGGACTGATGTTTACAAGAACATGTTAACAATCACTCCAACATCGTTACCGCAGATGACAAATCATCTTAAAGATCGAATAGATATTGTCCAAAATGAAGAGACAGACATGTCATTTCATCAACATCGAAGACAGAAGAGTGACTCGAATAGTTACATTGAATGGTTGATTTGTTATTATGGTGAACAAATTGAATCAACTTTTAATAAATTGAATTTTATTGATAGCGACAATCTACCAACTGGATTAATTATGCTTATGAAAACATCGAAAATTGATTGGAATAAAGAAAAGAAAGACGATCATTGAGACATAGTTCAAATATTCTTTTTTTTGTATTGTATGTCATGTGTTTTATATAGGGTTTGATTTTATAATAAATACAGATCTATTACTGAAATACTATTACAATATGTGAGCATACTCAGATATTTTTCTTCCTTCGCTTTGCGGCCAAAAATAGCATAGAGAAAATATCGATACGTCTTACAATGATTGATTTGGTCTTGCACAACATATACGATAGACATACATGTGTATTTTGTTTTTTGTTTGATCGTATTTTTTTAAGCAGAGGGATTCATCGAATCGTTCTAGTCGTGCTAAAAAATATAACTACTTTAGATGGAAATTTCTTCTTCTTTCTATTCAGAGGGCTGGACGATATCTCCCTAATACAGAGAAACTGTTCCGATTCTAGCAGAAACCCATCCCCCCTCCCCAAAAAATCAGAGAGAAGTGCTTCTAAGAATCATGACACCTGTCCTCTTTACCTATGTATAATGTGAGCCACTGAAAAATTTTCAAGGAGATATGGTAGAAGGATATCTATCTTTATTAGCAAAAGTCGAAATGTCTTAGAGAGAAATGAATAATATTTTTTTCATCTATAGAAGATATTCCATGAGAATCGGATTTTTCTCAGCAGAAATAAAATATAATTCAAGGAGATATGATAGAACGATATTTACCTTTATTAGCAGAAATTGAAATAAATTCAAAAGAAATCAATAATATTTTTTCCGTCTTTAGAAGACATTCCAATAGAAATGTATTTTTCACATGGTTCATCTTTAAGAAAAACGATTTATGCTTGAATTGAACTGTATGAAAGAGAATAGGGGTATTTGTAAAAGACGCGAACACCCTCGAACATTCACGAACACCCAACCAAAGCTAAATCTACAGGGTGTTCCAAAAGTAAGGAAACAAAGTTTTTTTTCGATTTTTTTCTTATAAAGCGTCAGCTAGTTCTCATATTTATACCACAGATATTAGATGACATAAGTAAAAGATCTAGCACATGAACAATATCTGAATGTAGCAATTTGTTCAAAAGCATACAAATAGAGTATTACCGAAGAAATGGAAATATACTTGACAGTTATACTTTCCATTGTCGTAGCATATACTACCTTGTCTTTGGTAGTGTTTATATATGTACTAGTGGTGACGTCTGCAGTAAACAATACAAATGGTCATCTCTCTTATCAGATAATTCATATTTTGTTCTCTGTTTACTATCTGTTTCTTTTTTCGCAGTTCTAACTGCAGTTTTCATATTTTTTTAAGCATGAGTGAAAGTTCTCGTTTGTAGACATCTGAAAGGATTGAAATTGTAAAATGATATGCTATGTACCAGAATGCAGGTGAAGTTGCTCGTCAGTTTCAACAATATTATGATCGAACTCCTCCAGCACGAAAGAATATTTTGAATCTCGTATGAAAATTTGATGAAACCGGAAATGTTGAAGATGAGCCCAGACCTAGCAGACCTAGATCTGTCAGTACCGATGAAAATAAAGAACGTGTTCGTGCAACTTTTGAAGAAAGTCCTGCAACATCATTAAGAAGAGCTTCATTGGATTTAAATCTGTCTAAAAGCAGTCTTCAACGAATGATGAAGGAACTTGGATTGAAGCCTTATCGTCCTCAATTACTGCATGTTCTAAACGAAGAGGACCTTGACAGACGTTGCGAATTTGCTGATATCTTTCTGAAATTGGTCGCTAAAGACTCTTCGTTCCCTGATCGAATTGTGTGGACCGATGAAGCTACTTTCAAGTTGAATGGACACGTCAATCGACATAACTGCGTTTACTATGCTACAGAAAACCCTCATATCGTCATTACTTAGGAGATTAATGCCCCAGACATTATTGTATGGGCCAGAATTTGGTCTGGAGGCCTTATTGGACTGTTCTTCTTTCGTGATACAGTTACTGGACGCAGCTATCTGGAGATGCTTGATGAAAAAATTGTTTCTGCAATTGAATATCAGATGAATTTAGAAGAAATATTTTATAGGCACAATGGAGCTCCAGCTCATTATCAACAATCCGTTCGACGCTTCTTGGACAAAACCTTCCCTGAGCGATGGATTGGTCGATGTGGACCGATAGACTGGCCAGCACGATTATCAGATTAGACACCGACCGATTTATTTTTATGGGGTATGATAAAAGACCGTGTGTATGCAACAAAACCCCAAAATCTTCAAGCACTCAAAGATGCTATTATTACAGAGATGGGAAGATTACCAATGGAATTATGCCAAAAAGCTTGTCAATCAGTACCTAGAGAGACTGCAACTTTGCAAAGACCTAGAAGGTGAGCACATTGAGGAATTTTTGTGAAAATCTTCTTACTGCACAGACTTAACAAAGACGTAGTTTGCTATGTGTAATTTTTCTCTTCTGTTGCTTCCATAAAAGTTTTGCTAGAACTCACGCATGTTACCTTATTATTGATTATCCTATATTTGTATGCTTTTGAACAAATTACTACATTCAGATATTGTTCATATGCTAGATCTTTTACTTATGTCATCTAGTATCTGTGGTATAAATATGAGAACTAGCTGACACTCTATAAGAAAAAAAAATCGAAAAAAAACTTTGTTTCCTTACTTTTAGAACATCCTGTTGACCTGCAATTTTTCTTTTCAAATGCAATAAACGATATGAATGAGGAAGAAGTATAGAGAGAAATAAAGAAAAAGAACACAACAATTATGTAGATTAACAAAAGAGAAAGAGAAAAAAAATCTATCTTTTAAATAATATTTAATTAAACCAAATGACTAATAAATGCAGTATATTTTGCTGCTTTACATTCAAGTTCACGGATATTGGTTTAACTCAAATTTTAAATTCGTTTTTCTGCATCATAATACATTT